CTGTGTGTGTCTGCTTCTCTGTTTTATTCATTTTCTTTTAATTCATCTTTTTAAACTCATCTCCAGAAATCCTGGCACGAGCAGCAGAGCACAGATACAACTGTTGAAGCATGTGGTTGCATGCATGAGGTACAGCTGCCTATATGGGGACGCTTCACTAAGCGGTGGTATACGATGGCACGTACCCATCCCCAGGCAGGAAACTCCTAGACAACAGGGTGTTGTGACACAAATAGATGTGCTGTTATGATCAACTCCAACAATATGCCTGGAGGAGTTGGTCTCGATGATCTTTATTTGTCCCTCCCAACCTGGAGTGTTCTGTGATATCTGCAAGTCATCACTGGGATGTAAAAATGAAAGGCCTTCACTTGTTATCATTTTTCTCCTTTTCAGTCCCAAGCAAAAAAGCAGGTCAAATCACAAAGGGCCAGGCACAAGCACAGGAAAATGAGTAGGCATCGCCAGGCCCCAAGGAGACTCCTCACCCTGTGCTCAGGGTAATCCTATTTTGACCACCCCTCCATACTCCACGCTTAGGGATCTAAGGGTGTTGAGGTAGGTGATGAACATGTAAGCAACAAAATAGAAATAAAAAAGCTTTCTACATCAAGATTGGTGGGATTTTGGCATCATTCCATTTCCCCTTACAAACCTACCCCTCCTACCGCATTTGCAACTTTGTGTAATATATTTCACCTGGACAAAAGAGAGCTGATACTCTGTGTGGATAGGGGACCACCATTTTAAAGATGGAGGAAGCACAGATACCAGAGTTTTAAGTAACTCAGTTCATGGCGTAGGTGCTTTGTGATTTGATTTCTCCTCACTGTCATTCAAAGCAGATGATCCAAGAAAAAGCCCCAGTCAGTCTTACATGACACAGCTTACCCAGGCTACACACAAACAGCTCCTTCTCACAAAGGACTGAATTCAGAAGGCACGTCCTTGGCACATGTGCATACAGCGTGTACTGCATGGGGTCCTGAACACAGTTGCTGACACTGCAGCATAGCAATTAACAAGGAATTGGAGCAGGTCTCTGTTGCATAGCCTGCTCAGTCTTGATGTGTTACATCCATTAGAGCTGATGGAAAAGCAAGCTAACAACAAACTGAAGAAGCATGTGGACTGAATATCCTTGCCTTGAAATTTCTGGGATCCCAGCATACACAGTTTTCTCTAATCTTGCAAAGAATAGACAAAATTTTCCAAATACAGAATCATAGAATCATTCAAGTTGGAAAAGACCACTAAGACTATCTAGTCCAACGGTGACATAATGGACTTAACATGCCAGGTGCACTCAAGAGTGAAACTGAATGCAAATTAACTGTTTTGTGCAAATCTTAGCAAATCTAAATACCTAAGCTGAATTACAGCTTTCTTCTCACAGCAATTTTGCCATGTGAAACCAAAACAGCACAGAAGTCTGTGATAATCAGGGCATCTAGAATCATAGAATCATAGAATCACTAAGGTTGGAAAGACTAAGATCACCTAGTCCAACCCCAACCCATCCCCACCGTGCCCACTGACCATGTCCCTCAGTGCCACATCCACACGGTTCTTGAACACCTCCAGGGAACGGTGACTCAACACCCACCCTGGGCAGCCTGTTCCAATGCTTCATCATTCTTTCAGAGATTAAATTTTTCCTAATATCCAATCTGAAGCTCCTTTGGTGCAACTTGAGGCCTTCTTGTCCTATCTTCCCACTGTAGCTGTTGCACAGATAAAGAAGGGGCGTCATAGGATTCTCAACATGGACATGTCATCGTCCCCCTTCAGAGGAGGAGGCTACTGGAGAAGCAGGCTGCCCGTGTCTTTGTGTCTTAGCTGTTCCCTAGACTTGGCAGGCATCACCACCTTGTTCAGGCTGTGTAATGGAGACTGGTTTCTTCCCTGCTATCACTTTGAAATGGCTAATACTTTATTTTGCTTTAGAAAACAGTCTCTTATAAAAGCAGAGAGAGATTTCTGAATTATTCAACAACTCTATGCAAATAGTAACTAATTTTTTGTGATGCCCTGGCAAGGTGGGTAATTATGTGATATCCTTTCTGACAGGCAGAGACATCAGGTTTAAATCACTGGCTCTAGACCAGAAGAGAACTTTGAAATAAATTTTTGAGCGTTCAGGTGAAATGCTGGATGAAGTCCTAGTTTGATCAGAATGCAGCTTTTCATTTTCCATTTTTGTCTCATCAAGAAACCTGGCTTGGAGAAACATCCCTTGGCTGAGCTGCTACAGTATGTTCATAAATTATTTGCTTGAACCTTTCATAGTCAGAAATGACACTGAGAGTACCATGGAAATACATTTTTGAGGGTAGATGAGTCACCTGGGTTTCATTGCAAGTAATGATAAAAGATGATTCTGTTACTCACCTAAATTTTATCCTGGCTGTCTAAAATGCTGTTACTGCATCCTCTATGTGTGACCTGGCTGGATTGATCCAGCCAGAGCTAGGTGTGGGGTCATGTCCTAAGTGAAGCAGCCACTGCTACGGTGTATCAGAGCTGCATAGAACTGGAACAACTGCACCCATGGTAGATGCAGCCCCTTAGCAGTGTGGAACTGGCTTGTGGTCTGAAACAGGTTTTGTATCTCTTCCAAAATCTGCCACCTACAACAACTCTATTATCTTGCAGATGACTCACTGAACTCTTGTGGCAGTGAGCTCCACATCCTAATTAAAACAACAACCTGAGCTATTTCTCTGCATAGGTTTCCTGTTCTATCTGCACCTGCTCTCTGCCTTTCCTTCATTTACTTCCCTCTGACCTGTCCCTCTCTGCTTGTGCCCTTGCTGATCTTCCCTGCTTCTTGCATTTGCTCTTCACTCTGGACTCTGCTGCATGAGTGAAGATAAGGTGACCAGAGCAGCACACAATGCCCCAGCAGCAGTGACAAAGGAGTTACGCAGCAGCATGGTGACAAAAAGCACTGTTTCTTTTCCATCCTAAACTGCTGACCTTTAGATCATAGGCGGGCTCTCACTGAAGGTGTCAAACTGTACTCACTGATGAAGGCAATTAGCCTTGCCCCTCGAGTGCCCTGGATTAGCCATATTCATCCCTGAGTATATCCTACTGACACACATAACTGCCACTTCAGGCACAATCTTTAGCATAAAAAATAGACCAAGAGTCACAACCATGAAAAAAATAAGGAGTATCCTGTAGCCAGTCCTGTACTGCACAAAGCCTTGGACCTGGAAAACATCTGCAGCCTAAATGTTTCTAAAAACCGTTTTTCTGCTTGAACTGACTATTTTTACATGTTTTAAATGTTCGTTTTTGGCAAGAAGAAACAAAATTTTAAAACATAACTTAAGCGACATACAATGAGACTTACAGCAGAACTTTGCCTCATTCTGTGACAGGGTGCTTAAAGATCTCTTTATTCTGACTGGTAGAGATGAATGGTATGAGGAATGGGAAAATAGAACAATTTGAGAAAAGTCTCTCAGGAGTCTACTATGACAAACAAAAATTGGAATGTTCTTCTTCTTTTCTGGTATGTTGTTTGCTAAACAACCCTACAGTTATGCTATAGTTCTGCTTGCTTATTTTAAATAGGGTGTTTAGAAATCACTTCTTGTAGTGACATTCATAAGTGTGTACAAGCAGGTATGACATGCATTTCTTTAAATTTTTGTAATTCTTTAAATTTTTGTTCCAGGACTACATGTGTCGTTAGGAGCATCAGCTGTGAGAATGGATTGTTTCATCCCTATTATCAGCAACTTTCATCCTGGCCAGTAAGTAAATGGAAAACAGTGTATAAGCATGCTATGGATAATGAGGAACAGCAACGAGTAAAAAATGCTAAGTATTGTTAAAAAGATAGAAATTCCTTTTTAAGCATATCTGCAAAAAGATTATTACACTCTTCAGGTTTGACATGCTTAGCCTCGTGCAGTGGTGCACCAGCAAATTGCAGTACTCTTGTAGTTTTGGCCATTTACACAGATGTAACTTTGATCAGGAGGAAAAGCTAAGGAGATTTATTTTGTTTAAAAAATTGGGAGTTTGAAATTTTCCATTCGGAACTGAGGGAAAAGAAAAGCAGCTTGCTTAGAAAAGAGAATATAGATAACAGTACGAATGTCTCCAGCTGAGAACAATATCCTGGAAATTACTCTGTGGAGAAAAATCAGCTGAGTGTAATAGAAATGCAAATAAGTCAGCCTGTGCTACTTATGGCTTGGGCAGCAACCTGGGCAGCTAAATTTCTAAATATTTTTCTTTTAACAGTGCTGATCCTGTTTTATGTGTTGTATGGGAACTGCTGAGTCACGGCCTGAACCTCTGATTGATCACCTGAGGTGAGCCATGAGTCAGCCATAGGAGCACAGCTGAAGGCAATTCACCTGTGCTGCCGGAAGGGGTGGAGCCTGGCTGCACCTCTCCTAGACCTATTGAAGAGCTGGCTACCAGTGGGGAAGGGCCTCTTTTGGAGGTCTGCTCTGCTGGAGTTTTGTAAGTGAGCTCAGGGTAGGGGTAAGCCTTCTATCTATTCTCCTTTTGTTATTATAATCTGCTTTGTCAACCTTTCTTGTTTATTTCATTGTAATAGTATTTTAATATTCATTGATTATATATGTGTTTAGATAAGCATTCATCAGTCTGAAAGCAGAGGTAAGAAACCTACATCTCAGAGGAATGCTTTAATCATTGAGCACTTCTTGGTATGAATCTCAATCTCTTTCACACCCCAGAATCAATTTTGGGCTTAATAAAACTTCTGGATTAATGTATTGAGCTAAATAAGCCTGTTTTACATACCTGAAACCTTCTCTTGAGATAGGCTTACAGAATAATTTCATACCACCATTGTTTTATTTCTATTGTGTGAGAATGCCATCTATTTTGGTAGACATGTTTGGGTTAGACCAAAATAGGTTTTTCCAACTGCTTTTTCTGGTTTTGTTTAGATGCTGTACACAGGAGCTGTTGAGAAATTTATTTTCCTTTGTTCTTGCTCCAGAGAGATTTGTTTTTCCTAATTGAGCTTCTGTGGAAAGGTGGTGAGTAATAAAGCCTGGAAAATACTGAAATGTTGTCCCCCAAAAAAGAGTGGATCTAAATATCTGCAAAACTCTTATAAGAAACGTGAAGTGGTCTGGTGAGTCCACCTGTCTCAACACTGAGTTGCTAAAGGACTTCTAGAAATAGTGAGCTCAGTCACTAATGGATCTACATGAGATCTGATTTAGAGTGGTTTTGTAATGTCTTCCAAATGCTGCTAAAGGTGCTGTCTAATGCACGAACAAAACTCTATGCAGAGGTAATGGTGATCCTGTAGTGACATTTTTCAATCAGGTGTAGGTTCCACAAAACTGATGACTTCCAACTTTGTCAAAAATACGTAGTTTTATCTCCTATTTATATTCCTAATGTGTACCAAAGAAGGCTCCAAGACTAGCAGGATAGGCTAACATGGCAAATAGCTCATGGTAGGGAGAATAGGATGTGTGAGAAGGAAGGGAGGAAAATAACTGAGAAAGGGTAGAATTATTTGAGAAATAGAAGCGTGAGTAGCCTAGGAAGAATAGAAAAATCAATGAAGATCTGCAGAAACATAGATATGTAAGCTTCAGAGTAAGACCAAAAAATCCCCTTTGTTTAAAGCAGGTTAAGTTCTTGATGAGGGCATTTTATGATATCTCTGTGAATTCTCAGTCTCAAATCTCAGGAGCAGAAGGAAGGTCGTGTTGTTCATATCTAAAATGAATGTAGATCGGAAGTGAAGAAGGAACAGTCAGTTGGCCATGCAGATTACTAGTTAGACACCAAAATAAGTGAAAATAAATGGTTCATCACATAGGGAAGAGTAGAAAATTGATTGCTTCATGTGTAAAAGTCAGAGCTCAGTTCATTGCAACTCTGCAGTTGTGGCACATAATGCAGAATTAGAATGTCTTAAAAATAAAAAAAAACAAACAACAAACTATTAACAATTACCGGCTGTTTCAAAGCCATCTCTCCTCTTTCATGAATGCTTCTTAATTAGGTTACTTTCAAGTGTGGTTACTAGTTAATGAGAACTTTCAAAAGAAAGCAGTGCCAAATTGACAAAGAGTGTAAAATAATGCCTAATTCTTTTTCTTTTTAATTCTTCATGCCAAACAAACTGGCATTTTCCCTATTTCTATAACTTAGTTTAGAGAAGTTGGTTGTCTTAGAATTAGTATGTGCAGACATGCAAGAAGACAGAGTTTGGTATGAGCACACCCGCGCTCAGTCCAATTCTCATTCTCAGTTGGTCAGCATGGATGCAATAGTGCAGAAAAATAAGCAAATCCTCCTTTAGCCAGAGCTCATTACAGAGCAGTAAGTATTTATCACTCATCTCTCTAAGCTCGCTTTCCCAGTAACGCAAATGCAGAGCTACCTATAAACCCTGTATTACCTGTTGCACATTTCCATGAAAAATTATGTGTACAGTGCTGTCATTGCCTGTGTATTACTTAAGATTCTTTAAGCAGGTAAGTGCTGGATCTTCACTGACTAAAGCACACAGAGCGGGGAATGGAAGATTTTTCCTATGAGCTCAGAGGGTTGTCATCAATGGTGCTTAGTCCAGTTGGAGGCCTGGTGTTCTCCAGGGGTGGATGCTGGGTCTGGTCTTGTTCAACATCTTCATTAATGATCTGGAGGAAGGAGTAGAGTTCACCTTAAGCAAAGTTGCAGGTAATACAAAGATGGGGAGAGTAGCTGGCATATCAGAAGGCTGTGCTGCCATACACTGAGACCAGTACAGGCTGGAGGGTTGGGCGGGGAGGAATCTGATGAGATCCAACAAGGGCCACTATATAATCCTACACCTGGGAGGAATAACAGTACATGTTAGGTGCTGACCTGCTGGAGAGGAGCTCTATGGAGAAGGACCTGGGTGTTCTGGTGGACAACAGGTTGGCCACGAGTCAGCAGTATGCCCTTGTGACCAAAAAGGCTAATGGTACCCTGAGGTATGTTAAAAAGAGCAGGGCCAAAAGGTCAAGGGAGGCGATCCTCCCTCTCTCCTCTGCCTTGGTGGGGCCACATCTGGAGTACTAGTTCAAAAAAGGCAGGAATATCCTTGGAGGAGTCCAGTGGAGGGCAACAAAGATAATTAAAGGCCTGGAGCATCTCTTGTGCGAGGAAAGGCTGAGAGACCTGGGGCTCTTCAGGCTGGAGAGGAGAAGGCTGAGAGGCGATCTTGTTGCTATTTATACATATCTAAAGTGTAGTAGTCAAGTTGGTGAGGGCAGATTCTTTCCAGTGGTGAGCAACAGTAGAACAAGGAGCAAGAAGCAGATACTAGAGCACAAGAAATTTCATACAACTCTTTTACAGTCAGAGCAACCTCAGAGAGGTGGTTGAGTCTCCTTCTGTGGAGATATTCAAGACCAGTCTGGACACTTAGCTATGCAACCTGCTGCAAAGTACCTGTTTTAGCAGTGGTGTTGGTCTCAGTGATCTCTAGAGGTCCCTTCCCAGCCCCTACTATTTTGTGATTCTGTGAAGGCATTTTGACTGAAGGAATTCCATGAGATATAATGCTGAAGAGTACAGAAGAAGCTGTTGCTGTTACAGGGAAAATATCTTAAAGCAGGTGACTTTGCTAGAATTGGAGGGGAAACAAGATGTAAAAGTGGGGGGGGAAAAAAAAAAAAAAGAAAAAAAGTAAGGTGTGTGGAGGCAGATAATTATCAGGTAGGCACTGCTAATATATGGAGCAGCAGGAAAGAGAGGGGGCATCCGAAAGGAGTTAGAAAAACATTGAACAAACTTGGTGATATGGAAGGTATAGGAGAAGGCATGGAAAAAGGCCTAATGGAATGTTTTGAAAATGCACTGAGAGTTAGAGAAAAGGAAATTGGTTCACAGGCCTAAAATGACATAAGTAGAGAGATGGAGGAGTCAGAAAAAAATAACTAGAAAAAGAAATCCTTGATGCAGCTCAAATGTCTGATGAATGAGGGGGAAAGAAGAAAAATAGGAGAAGTGCACATTACAAAAGCTGCATGTTTGCTCACGTTTCTCTGAGTATGACCTTTCCTTTCTTTTTCCTGAAAAATCTCTCTAGTCTTGGAGGGCAGTTGCAGCTTTGATGAGAGAGGTGGCAGATGCCTCATCCCTGGAGATATTCCAGGTCAGTCTGGACAGGGCTCTGAACACCCTGATCTGTTGTACGTTTCCCTGTAGGAGAATTAGACTAGATGACCGTTACGTGTCCCTTCCAACTCAAATGATTCTATGATTATTAAGGGTTCAGTGTTCCCATGTTGCATTTGAGTTGGCAGAACCCCAAGGATCCTGACCCTGCAGAGAGCCCAGCTCAGTGGCACCATGTGGGAATCTGGTGCTGCCCTATGATGATGATTCTACTACATGTAGGTTGTGTCAGCTTATTTAGATAGGTCCTAGGAATAAGCAGTCAGGGTGGAAAACTTGGACAGTTTTGATCAGAAGTTAAGCACACAAAAAGGAAGAGGCAAATAATACCTCATTTGTATTTTTACAACTTTGACATTACTGCCATTATAATAATTTGGATAAAACCTGGAAAGTCCCACCGAGTGCAAATGTCTCTGTGTCTGCCTGGACTGGTGGGATGGAGTGATTTGGATTCTTTGTGGAACTCCACAGTTTGACTCATTAGCTTGGTTTGTGTGAGCAAGGCACTGAGGACGAGAAAAGGTATGACAGCAAAACACAAAGAGAAGACAACGCAGCATGCCATTTTACAGTGGAATTGTTATCTGTAAAGTAAGTCAGGTGTCACCTGTCAGCTTCAAGCTTCTTTATGCTTTTCAACATGTATACGTACACATGGGCATATAGGAATTCTTCAGATGCTTAGGTATAACTCAGTAATTTATTAGAAAGTTTCTTCACTGATACTTTGCGTGTTTCAATCTCAAGACAAGAGAAAAGAGGTGGAAACAACTGTTCTCAATACAAATCAGATCAGCCCCTTCAGTTTCTTTGTTATGGTAATTGGTAATTACAGGAAAAAAAAAAAAATCTTAATTTAAAATGAAGATTTCTCTGAGTACCTTCTCTCCACATGATCTGTCAGCAGCCCACCTCTTGGTGACACGTACACTGGAGGTTAGAACAGGTCACAATGACTCCCAGCAGCCATCTTTCCCCAGAGCATGAGGAAGAAGCACTGAGACCTGGGACAGTGATCATGGGGACCAAGCAGTAGGCAGCAATTGGATAAAGGGTGTCCACCTAGCCTTGGAAAGAGCAAGGCAAACTTGTGTTACGAGGTTTGCCGTGGTCTTACCATCAGTGGTTCCTGCACTGCCCCAGCCCACAGGGAGCTTTATGGGCTGCCATGGGAAGTTGGATCTCAGCAGTGTGAGTGAGCTGCTCTGACAGGTACCTGGGCTACAGTGGCAGGTATAGAATCATGGAATGATGAGATGGAGAGAATAGGCTTGAATAAAGTCGATATGATCTCGGGATCTGGTAATTTTTTCAGAACAGAACCCAGAATTTTAAAAATGGTCCTGGAAAAGGAGAATGTATTTATTCTTAGGAAAAGTTTCTGCTCACGCTGCTAAAAGTGGTTGTAATTTGATTCAAGGACAGCCGTGTGTCTTTGTTTTCTTCTGACAGATATGGAGCTTGCTTTCTGATATTGACAAGATACAGGTATTTATGTCCAGCTTATGCTGTTGTGCTCCTGTTTTTTCTAAACTGTTGTAGAAAAGGAAACAGAAAAAAAGCAGTGATGTGAAAGATAATTCCAGCTGGCTCTAGATGCCTGACTGTAGATAGTGGTGCTGAAATAAAAATGTGGCCTCTCAGAAAATGTGAAATGTGCAATCCTGCACACACTGTGTGCAGTAGGAAGAAATCTTCTAAGAGGTAATAAGTGAATGATATCGGTAATAATGTCACTAACCTAAAACAAATATGCTTCACTGCTTACCTCACAGAGGATGTGTGAACCCAAATTCAGTTGGGTTCACAGTTTCAATTATACAATTTTACAGGATGTTGTGTTCGTCTATAAAGCTTCTTAATGTAAAGATAGAAAGCACCAACTGTGTTTATTCAATGAGAAGTACTTGGCAAACATGCCGTATCAAGAGGTCATTATTGTCTGGGTCAGACCAGTCAAATCTTCTCCTGAGAGCTGGGGTAACGCTCTATACAGATAATGTGAGATAAACTAAAAGCAGCCTGACATTATCTAGGGTTTCTAACTGTGCAGCAAACAATTAGTTGCCATTTTCTGTTTTTTTTTCCCTCAGTCCAATGGAGTTAAATCAGAATTGCATTGATATTACCATTAACCCTTTTCAACCTGTTTTTTTTAAATGAGATTTTTGAAGAGTTGTTTTGGTGCTCCTATTCATTCTTTACCATAAAACCTGTTAAGAGGATTGCATGCTTAATACACATAGTGAATGTGCTGTGTTTATCCAGTATCTTGTGTCAGACCTAAAACAACAATTTGTGGTTAGTGAGCTCATACAGGGACATCTGAGTGTGCCCCTGAGTGTGCAGAAAAAAAGGCTACTACATTAAAAATAGTTGTGATTTTTTTTTTTTTGGGGGGGGTGGGGGGGGGGGGGGGGTGGGTTTAGCCATTTGAGCCCCAGATGAGAGCTTCATTCCTTGTGAGCTTTGACCATTTATCTGTGTGAAGGTTTATACCTAAGGAATGAAAAACTGCACAAAATCTGTTATTGCTTTTATAGATTCTAACACTTTGTGCAAAATCGCATTCATGCTTTGTTTACCATATCTCTTAGCTCCAGAGAAATCGGGGCCATTTGTTCCAAGTCGCATGAACATAAACGAGAAGACATGGAGGGCAGGAGCTGACTAGATGTATTTTAAAGGAAGTTTACAGATCAATAAATACAGGTATATCTGCTACAGCTATATCCGGAGGCTGAGCAGAAGGAGGCAAGTGTACATTTGCAGATCATAAAACTTCCTGAAGTTCTTCAGGAAACGTGACTCTTAAATTGCTTTTTGTGCCTTCATGAAGACCGGGTGTAATGAATGACAAAGGAAAGCCATTGTCTTTCTCGGAGACAACTTACACTTCCTAAAGTGGCTCATGAACAGTTGACTCTGCTGATGCCAGCGAAAGCACAGTCAATAAAGGTAATTGTGTTTAACACAGGAGACAAGAAGTATAGGTAAGCAGTACAGTAAGAGAGCCTGCTTGGAACCTGGGCACCTTTTCCAAGGACAGTTCTGACACTTTAGCATGAAAAATCATTCTGAATTACAACTGAAAAACAAATTTGATTTTTTTACTCTATTTATAATTTCTGGGAAATGTTGTCTTAGTAAACCTCTCACTTGAATCATTTTGATTGTTTCATTTTAATGAAGAAAAACCTATGCTTTTCTTTACCTTTTTAGTTACTTTTATTTACAGATATATCACATTAAATGTAGCATAAATTCCAGTGGAACATTTAGTGAGAATCTATTGTGTCTAAACTTTTTGACCTGTTGCAAGTAGAACTTCATTAAGAACTCACCATGTTCTGAAAGCTGATCTCTTTTTATGTAGATAATAAATGTATGTCTTTCTAGATAGTCTGTAGTCAGACATGATTCCTGAATTTGTTACATTGAAGTTTGGAGAGGAAAATTATTTTTCTGCTGGAGCACAGCCTGGGAGAGATAGAACAGGCTTATTGCTATGCTCTCCACCTTCTTAAACTTTCATCAGTATTAATTTGCATCTCCTTTGGTCCTTCTTGCTTTCATTTTTTTCTTTAATGAGCATGGGGAAAATTGCTGTATTATGAAATAAAAGCAAGATTCAGGTGAGTGAAGTCAGCTGAGAGTAGCAATATGAACATGTGTAGAACAAGCTCTACTTCTGCCACTTCCATGCCTTAAGCCCTAATGAACTTTGCAGCACTGTTGGTGGGACTACAAAGTAGCTTTGGGGCAGTCACACCACAGTGTGTGCTCGGAAATGCCCACGAGTGCGTTCCTGGTGCATAGCTTGCCAAGCTTGGTTGTTTCCTGGAAGGACAGCACTAGCTGGGTGCATCAGACAACATCTCAGTGAAGGTTTTTTGAGTAATTGGCTGTATTTCACATTCAGAAAAGCACCTGATTGACTTAAGACGCAATTTCTCACCAGGTTTTAATAGCTTATTTTGCAGTGTGGTATATATGTTTCCTTTTTTCTTTCTACAAATATATTTCTAAATGTTTGTATGTATATATACATAAAAGCTAAACTCAGAGCAGTGCAGCCTAACACTTGTGAAGCCCCATCTGGAGTACTGTGCCCAGTTGTGCTACACAACTTAAGGGTGCCCAAAATGTCAGTAGGCACTGCAAATAACTGAGTCCCAGTGTACCTTCTGTCTCTAAAGGAAATGATGGGAGGAGAGAATCATGAGATACTGACATGGAAATCCAGGCTTCTGGCTGCTACTGTCCGCAATGCAGCTGCTGTAGCTTTGCAGTTGCTCTCTAATCGCTGCTGCTCAATGGCTTTGCTTTTTCTTCTGATTACTCTGCTTTTAGAGCTGCATGTGGGGAGCTGCAGCCTTACTGTTTCCTGACTGAAGAGAGCTTATGTGAGGCTGGACTGAGTGAGGCTGCCTGTAGGAATCACTGCTTGGTGCCCTTGGTTGCCTTCCAACCTGGTTCCTCTCTGTGCTGCAGACACCAAGACCCAGGTGCAGGGGGTGGGATGATGTGCAGTGCATCCCTGTCATGCACACAGTAGCATTTAGTAGGTTGACAGAGACGAGGAGCACTGGCTGCTGACTGGTTTTAACCAGTGCTCCTTCTTGTCCCATCCTGATGGTGCAACCCAGTGCTGTCACTGCTCCTTTCCAAACAGGAAAATGCCTCCCAGTCTCCCCAGATGGGGATTTTTCTGTTCCCTGAAACACAAGGCTTAAATTCCTCCCAGAATTACATTTCATTTCTGTGAGACCTCTCTTACGTTTCGTGAACTGGGGGGGGGGGAGGAAGAGGGGAGAGGGGAAGGATAATTATTAGAAGTAAAATACATTATTAAATGGGAGATGGCATGTGTCAGGCTTATTGATGAGAACTTTCATAAAATGTAATATTACTTCATTCCTACCTTAATTGAAGATATTTTCACCATAAGTGATGTGTAACTGCTTGGTGATTTAGCTTTCTTTTATGAATAATTGTATTATATGTTTTCTCTCTGTATATTTCCATTGATACATAGCATTAGCCTCTCTCATAATAGCCTGCAAAGGGCCAAGCAGATCTTACTTTATTGAATCTCTTTGAAAACAGTTTATTTTGCCTTCTTAAAGTCAATAGTTAAATTAATAAACATAATGAGAAACCTTTCAAATGAGGTTTCTCTGGTTATGATCAAATTCCCTGGGCTCCCACTTGCTAAAGATTTGACAGGAGTAACATGAAGCTACAGCATTCACTGTGTGGTTCATTTTTTATCAAACAAGACAGAAAGAATGAAGCCTTGTCTGTGTTTGAAAGCTGTATCGTGTTTCTGCCGCTTCTTTAGGCATTCTTACAGAAATCTTTCAGTTCTCCCTTTCTCATCTTCCACAGGCTAATGCAACCAAAAAAGCTGTTCTGTGATTAACAAAATGATGGTGATTTTTGCATGAAACATAGGTAAAGTCTCATTTTTACCTGCATTCTCATGAAATAATCAATTTTTGAACCGTGATGAAGACAGAAATAATTAGAAACAATTCAGCAAATAAAGAAATCTTCATGAGCCATAATTAATATTAAATGTTACAAGGAAAACTTCCCGGGCAACAGACCAAGATGAGATTAACAAGATCTTTTTTTTTAAGAGGCATTTATATTTATAATGTGAATTTTTAAAACCAAATAATAAAAAACACTGCCCAACCTTTCTATTATGGTCACAATCTACATCTAGACCTAATGAAATAAAAGGCAGGAAGGCTACCAGCAACCAGGCCAGGGGGCATGCAATTGTCCTGTTCTGCAGTACACTGATAGCAGCCAGAGAGCTGAGTTGAAAAGCACCACTTCAAAGCTTTTCTAGGTAATAATTGAACACTTAATGATTTTAAAGTTTCATGACAGCTCTAATGCCAAATTGTGGTTTAATTTAATATATTTATCTAATGATCAACATGCATGTCTGAAAGGTGGTTCTCTGTATATGTGTATTTGTGGCACTGCTACAGAGATGACTGGAACTAGAGATGTGGTGGGACAGGAGGGCTAGTCCCACAATGGTGGGGTGGGCTGGATAGGTGGGCTTCTCTGATAAGGTGAGAAGTGCCTCTTTGGTAGCAGAGTTAGTTTGACCTGTGTTATTTGGTACCAACTGGTTTTGCTTCCAAGTGAACTAAGAACATATCCTCAAAGCCCAGCAGAAGACCCAGACTTGCCTATGGCAAAGAAGGAGCAGCTTCTGCTAAAGCATTGTACGGTGACTTTGTTGCCTCTGCATAATGTAAGCTGGCTGTTGCCCCTTGGTGGAGGGTTCTCCAACAGATAAATTGAGATTCATAGTGACATCCACAGACTGCTCTAGCAAACTGTCTCTTATACGACTCTGAGGTCACTTCTCCTCTCTCACCCACTGCCTTCTCTTACTGAGATTAATGAGTCTGCAGCACATAGACAGTGTCTCTGTGGGTGAATACAGTGGTGTAAAGCAGCTTGGCTCTGGAGTCAAGTGAGAAATAGTAATTTCAGGAAGGAGATAAACTGGATAAGAGGAAGTAACCAATCCCAATCTCAAAGTGCTGAACATCCCTGTCAAAATTGCAGTTGCGTTTTATCAGTATGCAGATGTTATTGGTGAGGAGGTACAAAAGTTAGGATTCTCAAGGGAGAAGTGAGGAAAATGTGACTGAAGCCTTCACGGTCAGCAAAAGTGTGAGATAGAGCTTAGGAAATGGTAATTCCCAATGTTTCACGGAGTACTAGATCAAAATAAGTAGTTCTGTTCCGTACCATCTAAGGTATGTAAGGTAGTGACCCTACCAAGGTCACTATGTGCTCCTCTTGCTTCTGTTCACTCCTCATGCCCTGAGGGAACTCCAGTTGCATCACTTCTGTGTAGCCACACTACTTTTGTCATGACCTTGTACCTTTGTTCATCACCTCTTCTGATCTCAGGGATATCTCTAGCTTATGAGTCAACCTTGAGATATGCTGAATGGTTACCCACACAAATGTTTATAAAGTCAGTGGGGAACCTATGCTTGCCTTGTGGATAAATAGGGTCTTTCAGCCTCTGGATCTCTGAAATAAAGCACGTGGCCTCAAAAGGCTGCCAATCCTGTTGGTGGAAAAATTCTCCACAGAACCTCAATGAAGAAAAATGTTTGAGAGCCTTGCAACATGAAGAGGGAAAGAGAAATTTCAGCCAGCCTGGTCTTGTAGAGAGATTAATTCTTCTTTATAAATTAGCCCTTTTGTACCTATGAAACGTTTGATCACATTCCAAACTGTGGCAGTTATTTGTGCCAACTGGAAAGCCAAAGAGCAGAGGAATGTCTGATATTTAAATATTTTACCAGCTTTTCTTCTAGGTTTATGTTTTATTAGCAGCAAATATGCCTCTCTGTAAGAGTCTAAATCTGCTTCTCACTGTGGCAAAAGCCAGACCACAGGTAGCCCCTACACTGAAGTTGTACAGCCAGCAGGCCTGTAGGATGGATGGTTTTGCAGCACTGTATTTAAAAGTTATTCAATTCTAATTCTGACAATATGGCTGTTGGTGGGACAAGTATGCCCGTGATTTGTCCTCCACTATTCACTAGCAAATGTTTTATCACTAAGGGTTATTGGCTGCCCATTCTGCAGAGAGCCCAAGTTATGGCAAGAGGAGCATCACTGGGTCTCTGA